TCAATCTTTTTCCTTTTCATTTTTTTCTTTTTTTTGTCAGTGACTTTGACAATGCATCAAATAAAAAAAAAAAAATGAAATGTCTGGTCTGCATATTTAGAACAGGACATTTTTTTTTTTTTTTTTTTTTTTTTTTTTACTAATACTCTGAGTTCATTAGTTTTATAAAGATCTTTAATTAACTCTCTCTCTCCATGCAAAGAGAGCTTTTATTATTTGATATGTATCTTAAGAATTGAGTGATTTCAAGAAGGCTGAATTAGAAAGGGGATGTATAAACCCTCTTCAAAATGATCTAATACAAGTAGAAAACCAAATTCCTGTATCTTCCATTGATTTAAATGTCCCTGTGTTTTATTTTGCCTACTTTATTCCCAGCCTGATGTTTGTAAAGTTTCACTAAAACGTGTGAAATATGGCCGGTGTGATTTAATGTTAAGATGCTATGCATTTTCTCTCACGGTGAATAGTATAATTAGATGAAAGCTTTCTATCATGATCCATTTGAATGAGACCTGTTTGTTGTAACCACTCTTATGAACCCAGAAAACTCCATGAAAACTGGTTTAGAGAAACATGTTTTCATAGTGTCTGGTGAGCTAATAATTTTAGCAGACATATAGACATCAGTCCAAAGAGATTACAACTAATATTTCAACAAACATAAAGCTTCATACTCTTATTTTAAATATTTTACACTGGCCCTCTCACAAACTATTTTCTTTAGTTGATATTTATGTTGTAATTCTTTAATGGAAAAAATTTGCTTAATCTTTATTAAATAATCACAGAAGCCAGCAGTTTCCATTCAGAAGTGCCAAATTACCATCAATGACATTGTGTTGAAACTTTAGCTGACATGCAAATAGCCTGCTTATAAAGTTGTTTGTAGAAATATTGTATATATAACAAACTATCAACACTAAGTGCAGCATGTATATTATTGTAATTAAGAACATAGTCATCAAAAACTATGAACCTGACTTCAATGACAGTGATGTTTTTTTTTTTTTTTTTTTTTACAAACTTGCCAAAGTCACTTTGATTTTGTCAATGAGAGAAAAGATAAAGTGCAAGTCTTTGTTTACGAGTCAGTAAATCCTGTGGTTTAAGATTTTGCAGTTAACATGCAATAGCTTCTCATCAGATGCTATCTTTTGTGTAACAGAGGAACAGTGTCACTTGTAATTAGGGATAATTATTGTAAATGAGTTTGGTCATTTTTTTGTGCATATGCATAACACTAAATTTAATTTTTGAGTCAGCTCAAAAATATTTAAAAAAAAAAAAACAAAAGGAATAAGAGCATAAAATGCACAAATTATAAAAAGCATAAGTAATTCTATTTACCTGTCCTGTCCGTGCAAGTATGGAGGGAGTAAAGCTTCATTTAATACTTATTTTATAATGCACACACAATGTATAAATTTTTAGCTTATGTAGTTTTGTTATCCATAGTATACAGGGTGGTCTGAAAGTCTTGTCACTCCTACCTAATTTCTTTATTTCAAATGGCTGACATGAGCCCATTACTTTTTTGGTGTGATTGACAAGATTTTTGGACCACTCTGTAGATAAAACAGTTGTAAAATTCTCTTTTAGCTTTAGGTTTTGGGAAGTGGGGTCAAACCAAAAACTTTTCCACAACCCTCATAATGTCAGAAAGGCTGCCTCTAACCTGTAGTCATCTTAAAAAAAAAAAATTTACCAATTCTCATACAAATCCAATTACAAGCATTGACTTTAAGGGTACTAGTAAAGCAAGGGCAATAACTCTTAACAATTGTTTCGGCCTGATGCTGTATACACATCTTGTTTAAAAATATATTTAAATTTTATGAAAAAATGATATTAATTTGTACATAATAGTGGCTACCTAAAAATTACTTAAGGAAATGAGAATATTTATCTTTTTTTTTTTTTTTTTTTTTTTAATTCAGGTTGCCAAGAAATTTTATATTATAAGATTTGGATATTCTTGCTATCAAGAATATTTTTTCTTATCAATCTTTGTTCATCCCTAGAAATGATATGGTCGGGTTTTTTTTTTGGTTTTTTTTTTTTACCATAGTTCCTAGCATGTAAGATGTTCCAGTGAGTTACTCAAGGCAAACAGTAATGTGTACATTTGTATCCAACCAGAAACTTCTACGGATAGACATTAAACAAAAAATATAAGCAATTGCAAAATAAAAGGTTTTGTTCTTTTTTGTTTTTTGTTTTTTTTTTTTTTTGTTTTTTTTTCTCATAGCCATTTGATACTTGATTAATTAGAGAACATTTGGTCTGCATTATCTAATGATGGAAATCTAGTAAGTGATTATTACTGCAATTTTTTTTTCTTAATTGTAGCAGTGAGGAAAGAATCCTTTCATTGTATCTTTTCATAAATATAATTGCAAGATCCAGTTTTTGCTGAAATTTTAGAAACAAAAAAGAAAATGCCTAAATCTGCTTATTTCAACTGAGTTTTTTTCCTTTCTTTTTATCTGCATTAACATTTTATTTGATTTCTAATCAATATTGTTTAACGAAAACTAATATCTTGATACATCTTTTAGCTACATTCACCCAGTATGAGCCATTCTTTTATTTCTCTTCTGATTTATTTAATTCACTCTTTTTATTCATCCCGATAAAAGAAAGTGCTTAGTGCTACTATAAGACTCTTAATAGGTGTCTAATCTTATTACGCTTGTTCCTTATTGAACTTGGATTTATTCTTCCCTTTGACACAATTTCATTGAATTTGCTTTGTGTAGATTCATACTCAAAATAACTGTTTAATGATCTTTGGGGTGAATATCTGGACAAGTATATAATTCAGACTGAATTCCAAACAATTTAACAAATCATTTTTTTTCTCTCTCGCTCAAAATTGTTGCTTTCCTGTTTCATTTTCAATACTTGCCTCATTTTGAGTTCAGTTTTCATACTTGCCTTTTAAATGATCATAAACTTACCATTTTAAAAAAGCATTTAGGCATGCAAAAAAATTGTATATCAACTTAAACATCTGGCCAAAAAATTTGTTCACTTGAAAATTTACTAAAAATTGAACAAATTTTATCAACAGCCCATCCAGTATAACCAAATTCTTCAGAGCTCAAAACAAAGTATACTTTTTTCTTTTTGTTTTCTCTTCTAAACCCCAAACCTTTATCTGTCAGTTGCCATGACTTCTTGAAAAGGATGTTGGAGTGGCTTCATGTTGACTTCTTGGCACTTTTTAATTCAGGTTTCATTTTTTTTCCTTCACTGGGTGCCACCCAAGGCTAAGAAAGTCAGTCTACACTGCTATTAACCTGAAGTGGAAAGGGATGGGTTGATGGCTTTCCCATGGGTCTATCATCAATGTCACCAAAGTTCCATCCAAATAATTGATTCTTCTATGATTTATATAAATCTGGTGAGAAACATGACCTCATAGATTAACAGGGAGCTATTAACTTAAAATAAAGATTTGAAATTTTCTAATTATCTTTGAAACATGTTTTTATGTTTTGAATTCTTGAAAAATATTTCTTCCTAATTAATCTTATCTTTTTAATGTGCAATAATTTTCTTTGAAAAACAAAAGGCTGACATTTTGTTTCCCTTGGGTTTCTATTGATTGATTGCTTTGATACATTTTTTTTCAAAATTGATTCATTTGATGTGTTGCTTAGTTGAGTAAAGACTTTGATAATAAACCTACTTCAGCTTTATACTTTAACATCTGTCAGAACTCCAGAATATTTTTTTGATCTCTCTCTCTCATATATATATATATATATATATATATATTCACATTCCTCCCCAGTCCTTTTGAATAGGAGTAGAGGTTTATCCCTTGTGTCCTGATTGGGTTTCTGATTCCTTCTGAAGTTTATTTCCACACTATAATTTTGCTGAAATGTTCACTAATTAAATCTTGACCTCTTGAGTTGGCTGTTATCTTTCTTGTATAACCTCAAGAACTTCAATTTTTTACATTAATACACCACCACACATTAACACTCTTCCTCGAGTGGCTCTTGGGCCGTGTATTAGGTGAATATTGGAAAAAAATCATAAACTTTGTCCACAAACTTTCTTTTTAATAGAAAGCTTAAATAAATGGCACTTGATGGAATTCTGTTTCAATTCATTTGTCAATCTTAGTTTTTAAACATTTCTTTACAATATTTTTATTTAAATATTTATTGCTATGGGAGTCAAGTTTTTTTTCATTTCTCAATAAGTCACTTACTGAAAAACTGTTCTACCTCCCCCCTTCAGAACAATAACAGAAGCAAATTTTTGCTTAAAATAGTTTGCGTTGCTGCTGCTTGTCTGTAACACATGAACTTCTCAATATTGATCGAAATCTCATGTAGCCTTTCAGGCTTAGGATTTTCCTATCTATGGTGACAGCTGTTTCTGTCTGTCATAAATCTTGAATTAATTTACATAGTAATTCACTTCTGATCTCAATATATTTTATTTAACTCTGAAAGCTAATTCAAGCTTGAATTTCTTATAATGCCTTGTTCTGGGTATGACGATAAACTACATTTGGTAACAAAGCTTCTGATCAGGCAATTAGAGGTTTTGAGGAGTGTGGAACCACTTAATTGCTGTTGTTTCAAGGTCCACCCTGGCCCAGGATGGTAGCACCTGTTAGGATTCCAGCTATTGACAAATAATGAATCCTTCCCCTCGAGCAAAAAGAAAACACTATGAAAATACAAAAATAAACTTCTATAGTATAAAAAAAAATACCAGCGATACATTTTTATATTATTAAGATATACCAAACACATGTTTTATAGCAAAATGACTAACAGTACATTTTATCTGTTGCTAAAGCATAAAATTGTTTAAAATATATTTAGTTGAAGCCATAAAATTATGTACAAAATATTGATATTTTGGTATTAAATAACCTATGGAGTTTGATATGCTGCTAAACAAAATCAACTAACCCTGTCTTTTTTTTTTTTTTTTCTGTAAATAATTTTGGCTTATTTTCTTTTCAGGAATTTCAGGCAAGAGCCAGGCTTTGTTCGCCTTGGTCTTCACTACTCGTTATTTGGATCTGTTCACATCGTTCATCTCTTTGTATAACACAATCATGAAGGTCTTCTTCATTGTCTCATCCTACTTCACTGTGTTCCTGATCTACTTCAAGTTCAAAGCTACTTACGATAGCAATCATGACACCTTCCGAGCTGAGTTCCTTGTTGTTCCCGTTGGTGGCCTCTCCATTCTGGTCAACTCTGAATTCACTCCATTGGAGGTAAGTATTTTATATCTAGCATATATATATATATATATATATATATATAAGTTGCGGTTTCCTCCCTCTAATGAGTCTGTTGGACTCTTACGCCTACTATAGAATTAGAAGGCCTTGGGGGAACAGTCGAATAGATTGAACACTGGGTCAACCAACACACACTCACTAGTCATGTAATACTCTTCTGTTCTACTTACTGTTAATGTTTGCAACACTTGTTTTATTTCTTTAATCATTTACTTGTTCACAACAATATATATATATATATATATATATATATATATATATATATATATATATAATGCATTCAATCAACTAATGAGCTTTGCAATATGATTAATTTCCACCCAACTTCAAACAAGAATATATATAAATTTTTTTTTTTTTTTTTTTTTTTTTTTTAACAGCTATTTCAATATATCTAAGAATACTTAACATATATAAAAACAATTTTCTTTGAACAGATTGGGTTGAATTTTGTTGCTTTTTATTAGAAACTTTGACAAATTCTAAAAGCTTTGGCTGTAAGTTTGGATGTGTGGGTGGTGTAATGAAAAATGGCTCAGAATTTTTAATTGAGGAGTAGAGTTCCAATTCCTAGTGGATTCATTATATTCATTTATGTGCAAAATACCCTTGAGAAATATATGAATCCACCTCTTCTACCCCAGCTATGGGTTACTTAGTAAGACTTTTATCACTAAACCATTATCTCAAAAAAAAAAAAAATCTTACAATCTGAAAATATTTTCTGGCTTTAAATAACCTGCAAAGGTTAAGCCATAGAAAATGAATAAATGAATGAAAACTCCACAAGCAGCCACTCTTAACTATGGTGTTTAAATTGGTGGGGGCTACATGTTAGAATGTGCACACTAGAATTAGTTTACATCATTTTCACAGGGGTGGGACAAATGATTTATCATAATTTGTTTCTTGTGGATCATTATTCTTCATATTTGTATAAATAAGATTGGGGAATTCTTGTTGCAAGTCCAGGATCTGAAAGGGCTAAATATTGCTTACAGGTTTTGTTTTACAAAAGATATTTTCTGTTATACATGAGGTCATTTAATGTTTATATAAGCAAAATATTTTTCTATACATTTTGCCAAAGTAATGAAAACTTGCTCAGTTGACATAATTTAATGATTTTGTATGCATTTACCTACTGTTATATACGGTGTAACAGAAATAACTCCCACATAATGGTAAGACATTGGCTACAGGATATGGCAGAAATACCTCCCAACATTTTAAACTGTTACATGTGTGGTGCTAGTGAACTTAGGCAAGTGGCAATGGTGTCTTCATCTAGCTGATGTCTTAATATTCTGGGAGGTATTTCCCCTACACTTATTATCTATGCAAAATTTCATTTATTGGTCTAAAACTATCATAAAAGGCTCTGCAAAATAACTTAGCTTTTGAAAATAGCTAGGTAAAGGGATATATATATAATCTCCCAAGAACAATTAACATTTAAGTAAAATGGATTTGATTGTATTTTCTGTTGTAACTGAGTTGGCTCTCTCATAAAATTTTATGTCATAATAAACTATTACCTTTGTTGAAAGCAAATCTTTCCTCATAAAAAAATCATAATTCAAAACTTTGTCAAACAAAGGTTCTTGTCTGCCCTATTTTCTACTTGCAATTATATATCGCTCCAGTACACACAATAATAGCCATGTTACAATTTCTGTTTATGTGAGATGAAACTAAGTTTACTAACAAGAGTTTGTCCAAGTAAAATGAAATTTTGGTATTCTTTTGTACTCATTTGATTTTAATACATAAAATGTTTGTCAGATTTGGATGTGACAAGTAAAAATACCAAATGTTATAATTATTAGAGCATTATGGATGCATGTTTTAAATCTAAATTTGAAATCAAAATCATTTTGTGCCATGTTGAACAATTTCACTAACCTTCATGGTAAAAATGCCACCTATTGCTTATAAAACATTTGCAGTAACTTTCTTAAAAGTAAATCTAAACAAGTGTAAATGTTCTCATGCAAAAAATAAATAAATCTTGATAATTTTAGCAATGTGAAACATTTTAGGTTTAATTTTTAAGTAATAATAATTAGTCACTTGTCTTATGAATGTTTTATCCTTGGAGTTTTGTCGAATAAGATCGACTCTTCAAGAGATTTAATAAAATTTGTCACCTAGCCTTTTGAAGAGTGGATATGAGATTTGAGATAAGTGAACAAACTTCTTTTATTATTAATGCTCTCTTGTTATCAAGCATTATAATTATAAAGACTGCTTACTTTATTACTGCTAATTTTTATGGCTATAGATTTAGTTAGATGTTTTTATTAGGTCCTCTCATAAATAATGTCCAAACTCTGATAGATATTTTCACTATTAAAACAAATGTCTAAATGATAATCACATGCTAGTATGTATTCATACAGTTTTAAACACAGACCTTACAATCTAAATCAATTTGACCCTCTTCAAAATGGATATGAAATTAATGACATGTTCTCTTTCTATAAGCCTAAAAATGACAATATCAATGCAACAACCTGAAATGTTTTTGGGATTTTTTTTTTTTTTTTTTATTGAAAGAAATTACCAAAGGTTGTTTGAAGGGATAAAAGGTAACTTTCTACTTAAGAGATCTGCCATAAACAGGTTATCGTGTTGAGTTTAATGATAGCCTGATTTGATAGAAATTGTACTAACTAGAAAATCTTTCAAAAACTGAACTCCTACTGTTCACCTGTTCCGAGTCATCTGCAACAACTTAGGGATGAGTGTCCTACTTAATTTGACAGAAGCTAACCAAGAAGCAAGAATGGACATTTGTACTTTTTGGACAAATTCATGACTGGTGGTGAAACCTGAATATTTTATAGATATTAAGGTATTCATAAAGTAATTACATATTTCAGCACTATGAATTATGTTTTGAATAGCATGAAACTCCATCTTGAATTTATTGCTTCTATCCAAGTGGGTCTTGCTTATATTGAATTTCGGAGTTTGAGCCCATGGAGGATTATAACTTTAAAAAGAAAAACAAAAAATATTTGCCATTGCTTACTATACAAATTCTGAAAGGGTAATACTATTGCAGACATTTAAAGATGTTTGGGCAGTGTATAATGGATGCAGTAAAGCCTCATATATGTCAGCTGTGATTTAAAAAGGCTATTAGAATATATCCAACAAACCTTGCCTTGGAACACAACCCGCCTTGAACTTTTAAAACTCTTGAATGAGATCCATGTCTAAGTATCAGATTTTATGCAAAAACCTTGTCATGTTCAACTGTCCATGAACATCTAAAGCGAATTGGGGAAAACTTGCAAAAAGTGAATTCAGGTTCCTCATGAGATTTCACTAGAGAACTGAAAACGACGTTCTATCTGCAGCAGTTTTTGAACAAGGAATTCCAATCTTTCGGTTTTGTGTCACATTGTTACAGGTGATGAAAAATGGGTTTTGCATGTCAATAAAAAAGACACTGTCAAAATTTGTGAAACCATTTCCTACAAACTAAAAACACAGCTCCATCCACAGGTGTCCTTTCTACCTGTCTGGAATATGAATGGTGTCCTCTACTAGGAGCTACTTATTTTATTACCAGCAACTTGATTGAGTAAATGAAGCATAATCCTGCTTAGGTAAACAAGTTTTTATTCTGTAGCATGTAAATGCAAGGGCATGCTCTGCAAGGCAAACCCAAGAAAAAATGAAATTTTTAGATTGAGAGGTTCTTCTCCACATTTAACAACAGGCTTAGAACTTGCAGATTTTCATTTGTTTCAATTGCTAGATCATTTCATAAGTGGCAAAACATTCAGGGATAAAGTTAAATGTCTTTCAAATTTTCTTTTTTCTTTTCTTTTCTTTTTTTTTTTTTTTTTTTTTTTTTTTTTTTTATATGGAAAACCTCAAATTTTTAAAATGTGGAAACATTCACATTCTTTTCGTGCTGCAATTGTTGAAAATGAAGATGGTTTATATTTTTGATAATATTCAAATTAACTTTCATTCATTTTTATGTGCTTTGTGGCAAAGTGTAATTACTTTTTCAACACCCAAATATGTAAACCAATCTGACAGTGGCTTACCAAAGGTAAACATACAAGCCAAAATGGATTTCCAACAAAGAAAAATTTGGAGGGTTGTATTTGTGTAGTGCACTCTGATTTGTTACCAGTCAATGTCACAATTACAACAGATGTCTTGTCAGCAGAGGAGCATTTAAACATTTTCTTTCATAGAATAGAACTCCAATTTGATCAATTACAAAGCAACTCCCACACACACACACACACACACACACACACACACACACACACACACACACACACAGCTTTCGTGAAAATACACAGCACTTCCACCATACAAGAAAGATTTAATCTGAAGAAAATTGAAGACCTTGGTTGAAAAAGATTTCCGCACCTTCTTTGTTCTCCAGAACTTACATCATCTGATTTTTGATGGGTTGTTTTTAATCCTGTATTAGTCACATGGGGGTGTATTATTACCCCCAAATTTTTAAAGTGCTCATAATTCCTAGTTGGCAACTTGTTTGTTTTGCTCCCTCTCACTACTCTCCTGACTCAGTGACGGGGTGTGGCACAGTTGTAGCTAACTTGTCATGGGAGGCAGACTATCCATTTTTGGACATCTGAGGTGACTAACACAGGGTTAAAGTAGAAACTATCTTCTCCCTAAATGCATTTCTCAGAAACCAGTTTTTTTTACTAAAACCCCATTAAGAAGCCTGTGACTTATTGGAATGAGATTATTGGTAATAATCACAAAGCTAAGTTTATTCTCCTTACTCTTAAATTCAGACATTTCTTATGACCTGATAATTCTATAAATCTATTTTCATGACGAATTTATCAATTTATGGTGTTAATATGAAATGCTTGTATCAGTGCTTTGTAGTGTCTTTTATATAACTATACCCATTTTTCTGTTTTGTTTTTTTTTTCCCTCCTATTCTGGTATATTAATTTTTTTGTTTTTTTTTTCTCTATTTCTCTTTATTTTCAGATCTTGTGGACTTTCTCTATTTATTTGGAGTCTGTGGCCATTTTGCCTCAACTATTCATGGTCAGCAAGACCGGAGAGGCCGAAAGTATTACTAGTCACTACCTGTTTGCCCTGGGCAGCTACCGTGCTCTCTACATTTTCAACTGGATTTACCGTTACTACTTTGAGGGATTTTTCGATCTTATTGCTGTTGTCTCGGGATGTGTGCAGACTATACTCTACTGTGACTTCTTCTATCTTTATATTACAAAAGGTAATTACAAAACACTGCCTAAAGAAACTGGTGCTATACTGTCAGTTTAAGTGGTCAGTATGCTTGTAAGATTGAGCAAGAAAAGTTTTCTTTTTTAAATTGTACCCTGTTTTGGGCCTTTTCTTTAAATTACCCTGACATTGTTTCTAATGTCTTAATATTTTTTGAACAATGGGTAAATTGAAACTTAAAAGTTCAGGAAGTTTGAATACTTATGAAAGGTACATTTTTCAGATTGAAAATACTGGGATTCTATTGCTACTGTTTGCGGTTTGGGTTTATCTTTAAAGTTTACTTCCAGTAATTTTTTTTTTTTTTTCTTCTCCTTCATGGGAACATTACAGGGATCATTTTTAAATCAGTAAATCAGAAACTTTCGACTTGATCATTTTTTTTATTTTTTATTTTTTTATTATTATTAAGTATTGTGATTTTTTTTTTTTTTTTTTTTTTTATTATCCCTCTCTGAAGGTTTTTGTCACTGCGGTCTTTTTAAATAGCGTTTCTATACTTTCACTTTAACACCTCATCTCATTTTTAAAAAAAAAAACAAAAGACAATACTTTTTTAATGAAATATTGTTTTGGGAATAAAATCTGCTATGTTCACCATACTTGCATTCTCTCACACACACACACACACACACACACACACACACACACACACACACACACACACACTCACACACACACACTTCAACTGCCAACTCTTTTATGTAAATTAAAATAACTTAATACTTGGCTAAATCTTATTGTCATAAGTAACCCCAGCCTGCAAACCAATCAGTAGAACAGTACAGAAGTATATAAAATTGATGGTCATTTACTTGGTACTGGACACTTTTCATTAACACATTATATTTTCCCATAGACAGATAAACAAAACTACCTTTATTCTTCAATAAGATTTCAACAATAAAACAAAAATATCTTTGTTCAAAACAGTTGAGGTTTTTGTTCAGAACTCCTGTATGATAAAAATATATAACACCATTTGTAAAGACCTTATTTTGGTATGTTTTGCTGATCTGTGTCCTCTGGAGAAAAAGGGTTTTATTTTAACCAAATCTAGAAATAAGATCTTTTTGATGATGCAGTTTGATCATCAAAATGTGAAAATAAGTTTTTCAGATTCTTATATATTTATCATTCCATTGGATTCTCATCCAAACATTATCCGAATTCTGGATACCAATTAAAATTCTTGTATCCTGAATTTTAATGAATTCAATTATTACAGACTAAAATATTTGTCAATATATTTTTTTTTTTTTATAACCTCTGGATTTCTGATCTGAAACAGCTTGACACTCAATGTTGGTTTTGTTTTGTTTTTTTTTTTTTTTTTTTTTGTGAACACATTTCAGCCAATGTACTTTCTAGATTTATATCTTACATCTAGTAACCTTCAATAAATTCTAAATCGGGATTTTCATTTTATCCAAAAGTATGTTCTCATTCTTAATATCCGGTGTCTTTACACATTTGAACTCTCAACCCTGCCTTGGTGCTGTCACACATTTTTTTTTTTTTTCCTCCCCCTTCATTGAGCTGATGTAGTTCCTTGCTGCAACCCCCACCCCACTCCCCATTGAAACTTCTAATTTTGGGAATGAGATGTGAATGTTAAAGAAAATAATTAAATCCTCATTTTGAAAGATGGACCACTGGCAAAATGTATATGGTCACCTTGCCAAAATTTTTCAAGAAAATGGATGTTAACTCATGCTGCAAAACTTGCCTGATTTATCTGTGACTGACGAGGAGGCACACGTGTGTGCATTTACAGTACTTGATGTAGTGAATTTGTTTTACAGGCCATTGCTAGTGAGTTCAATCCTAACTGTATATGACTATTATGATTTTTTTAGCATCGGGGAAACCAAGTTTAATTAACATCTATGTATGCATTTAGTAGATAATGATAGTGACACAACTTAATGTGAAATTTTGTTGCAATTATGATTTACATGAACTACATAATTTTTTTAAATGGCTGGTTAATCAAGCACGATTGTTTTTCCAAAATGTCCTTAGGAACAGTAAATTGATTTAAAGAATTTCAAACTGATAACACATGTTTTGTGTTTGTGTTCTTTTTTCCTTTTCGTTTTTAACTATAAATTGGTTCTTAGACAATAAACCTGATTTCACTCCCTTCTGTCTTTTTAGCTGTCCATTATTTGCTCTGTGATATTGATATTTTATTGAAAGATGCATTATTTTATTTTTCTTCATTTACTAATTTAAAAAAAAAATTGAAGTAAATATTCCCCTCAATTATATTTCTGATGTCTAGATTCACTAGAATATCGAAGTGACCAATGATAAGATTTTGGGGTCTTACATATCAACTGGTTTTTAATTTATTGGAAATGCAGAGGGTGTTTTTCACTTGTTCTTGCAACAAATGCATTTAAAGATTTACAGCATGTTTATATTTTTATTTTATTTTATTTTTTTTAATCTACTTAATCATGTAACATGTCAGTTTGTGCAAAGCGATTTAAAATTTTACTTAACACTGGTATAATTTACCTGGTTCTTTGTTAATTCAAGTAAATTTAAAACTTAATTTTGATCTTTCATAGTTGTATTTCGTCATGAAAGTTGGATCTGCACTTTTGTAATAACTGTAAGAAAGCTTAACATAAGCAGCAATGGACCTGCTTGGCAAATAAATCATTGCTTCAGATGCTCTTGAATGTAGCCTTGTGCTAAACTTTGCTTAGTAAATATTGAAGCTACACTTGGACAATTATCTTGTTTAAAAAAAAAAGTTTACTGATTAGGTAGCTGAAAAAAAATGAATAGCAAATAATTCTTTACATATCAATTTTCATTAAAATAATAAAATTGCCTTCATTGGCATGTTCATTTTTGTGTATATTGTAGGCATTTTCAAGTAGACTTTTTTTTTTCTGTATTTTTCTTTTTTCATTACTCCAATACAAAGCATCTCTTACTTCTCTCAGATGTTCAGGTGATTTATTTAGAACATAAAACTTAGTTTTCTGAATTTGTCTGTCAAAAACCATTTCTTTTAAAAAATTTAATGTTATCCCTGGTTTTAAAGAAACTGTAGGCTAGCAATCTCCCAGTGAAAACTTGTCATTTGGCACTTTTCTGAATGCTACATTTATACTTGTATATTTTCTACATTAATCTTTTAGCGTGTTACATGGGAGAGTGATAACAGAACATTTTTTGCTCTAAAAAAAAAAAAAAAATGCATTGTTTTTGTTTTTCTCACCCTGTCCCAATCTAAACTAAATTCAATTTTCTTCTCTGCCTGCCACACTTGATTATTTTTTTTTTAGCCTTTTTGAATGACATACCTAATCATTTAGTCACTTGAGTCAGAAACACCAATGCTTTTTTTTTTTTTTTTTTTTTTTGGTTAGCTTGTCCTTTGGAAACCAAGAATCCTTTTTACATGATAGATTGAGATTTTATACTGAGAGCCATCTATCACTTCTCAAAAATTAACCAGGGAAGCTTTGATAGTTAAGAGTTGGAGGAATTCTGTGCCTGGAATGCACTCTTGATTATTCACCAAGGAACTTTGTTTTTAAACAAAATTCTTCCATAGAAAAATTGTTAATGACATTTTGATTGAGTATGGGGGTAGGGGGAATCTCTCTTTTGTAACTTTTAGCATGTAAGAATAATCTTTAAATTGAGATTAAAACTTTTTCATTTGTAAACAATAACCAGCTAGGGGGTAACCTTAATCTATATAATAGTTAATTAGTCTAATTAAAGTCTATGAAAAGAATATTTCAAGGAGAGCTAATCCCCTTTTTTTTTTTTTTTTTTTTTTTTTATTTAGATAAACAAACTGAGCAATAAATTTTTTATTTCAAACCTATTTTAAGCTTCAATGAGATTTTTCTGTAATATTTTCTTTGCATTTTTACTTATTTCAAAACTATTCTCTTTATTTTCCCTGGATTTCTCTTAAAAATTTTTCACTTTTTAAAGAAATTGGCAGCCACTAAAATGCATGAACATTGACTAATCAAAGTCTTGCATTAATTACCAGAAAGAATATATGCTTTTGATTTGAACCTTTTTCTTCTATTAGATATTTGAAATGGTACTTAACTGAATGTCATTAAAATGAATTGATTTTCACTTTATAATCATTGACACAGCATTTTCTGGATCACTTACTAAAATTCTTTCAAAATGTTAAAATTGTTCTTTTTATACAGTATTGTTAATGTTTCATTTATTTTCCACATTTTTTCCATGAATTTTAAATTATAAATTTTTATTAAAAAAAAAAACAACCTTTTGTGTTTTGATTTCTGTTTGAAATGTGTGTAAATACGGAGCATAGAAAAGTTATAAAGGATCCTAAAACAAACTTCCACTCATCTAAACAAAGCAGATAAGCTATCTATACAATAAGACCTTCTTGCCTTGCCAGATCAAAAAGTCACTAGACATGAATGTTGGTCCTGGTGAGAGGAAAGGTCCCCCCCACTACCACCACCAAATGATTCAGTTATCAAAATAGGTGCTGATCAGTTCACATGTTTTTAACACCCTTTTTGCATGAGCTGGATAAAATCCACTGACCAAACATTTTTATTTATTTATTTATTTTTTTTATTTTGTCAGTCCAAGAACTTTAAAGTACACCACTTTTATAAGCACATATGTCATGTGTTGTATTTTACACATACCTAAATGCTTTAATTTCAGAACACCATTCTAGCTGTTCATTATGAAATAAATTTATTCAGAAACAGTCCATTGTATTTTACTCAATTGTGGAATAACACTTAATACAAAGTTGGGACTTTTACCCCAAATCTAACTTATAAAAATACGTTCATGTTATTCCATGGCCATCTTTTTCAAAAGAAAACCTTTCAAAGCACTGCTAGGCTCAAATCAAACTTGAATCAAAACACACAAGACAGGTTAATTGAAGAAATTAAATTGTTTAAACTAAAAAAAAAAAAAAAAAATACATCTATAACATTGATATTGTTTTTCATGTAAAATTGATTTACTAACCTTTTGCAAATAGAACTTGCTTTTTACAGATAATTATCTTTCCCCTTTGACCCACTTTTGCATTTTCACCTTGTGTAGAAAAATTTATATATATATATATATATCTTTAATACACAAAGATATCCATTTATGCCTCCTTTTAAGTTTTCTCATATGGTTGCATGACGTTCGTTGTTTTTGCTACTCATCTTTTTGTGCTTTCTGGTTAAAAGGTTTTCATCCATCTAGCTTTCCTTACTCTTCAATTTTGTAAGTATCTTCCATCTTGCCACTTTCTCTCCCTCTTTTACTCAGGTTTTCTTAACCAATGTGCTTTTAAAGACTGTTGACCATTCTAATAAAATCAGCTTTGTGTATAAATCAGTTGATCCTTTTATAGAAGATTGATCCTTTTATAGAAGATTCCTAACGATGCTTTCAATTTCCCTTTGCTGAAACCTTTAAACTGGGCTTTCCATTAATTCCTTTTAACTTGCATTATAGTCCTTTTTTTTTTTTTTTTTTTTCTTTTTTTAATTTTTGTTTGTTTCTTTTTTTATGTGGATGGCTGGTGGGGGGTCTTTTTTTTTTTTTTTTTCTTTTATATGAACCAAATTTGTGCAGTGACTGAATATTCTTTTGGTCTTTCCCTAAAGAGACTATACTATATTGTATTTGCACATCAGTTCTTCTCAACGTTACTAGTTTAATATTTTTAATTTGTTAATGTTGCAATATGTTGGCCCAAACCATTTCAAGCACCTTTTAAACACGCTCTCAGATGTCATTCTGTTTTTCCTCTTCCAGTTTTACGAGGCAAAAAGATTACTCTACCAGCATGAGCGAAGAGGATGCAAGATTTGCCTGAGGCATGAAAAGGCTGCAAGTTTACTACTACTACTACTCCTCGTACTACTACTTCTATCTCTGATGGGTTGGAAGGACTTGTTTGTTATGGGACTAATGGCAGGCTTTCACTTAAAATGCCATCATCGCTGTTGCCGCCGTCAGTGGTAATCCATCCTTCTCTTCCTTTTAGCCCCCCTCACTCTGTCACTTTTCAGCTCACTCCCTCCCCTTCATTTTCCCTCTCTTTAAGTTACTTGATCCAACACAATACTTTACCATCTCATCATTTATGCTTTGATGAGACTTTTCTCCCTTACTTTAACTTCCTCTTTCATTATATATATATATATATATATATATATATATATATATATATATATATATATATATATAATGAATTTATTTCCTAGCATTAACCACTGCCCAATAAGTACTTGCATATTTATAGACACATAAATACATACATACATATATCCTAGCTCATTACTTTTAAAATTCCTTTACTTTTTAGTTTTCATTTTTTGACCAAAATGTTGAAAATCTTTTGAAGAGGAAAAAAAAAAAAATTCAACTTTTCGTGATTTTTCTTCATAACAAAGCTAAAAGAATAAACAAACTTTCTTTTTTATTATTATTATATACGTACGTAAACACTAACACCTAATTTATATAGGCATTGAAATCTTTTGATATTCTATTTCTGTTATTCTTCTTGCTCCTGTGTCTTTGGTCTTCCTTACACAATCTACCTTTTTGTATAAATGCTATTTCTTTTGTCATCACCAAAGCCATGTATATTGCTGGATGTTGAACACCCTGGCCCTGGCCCTTCCAACTAATTAGTCATATTTTTTCATAGACATTCACTGGAACTATTTTGCAATTGGATTTTTGTTCCATTTTTCAATATCTGTGAGAAAACAAAAACACAAAATTGAAACAAACTGTACAAGCTTCTAAGAAAATCTCAATGATTCATTTCTTGTATGCCTCCTGATTATTCAGATTTTCCATGTGAATAAATCATATTTCATTAGAAATGTCTTCTTGTTATATCTTCTTGATGTTTTCACTTATTATTTATTACCTATTTATTTTTACAATTTTAAATGATGTATTTTTTTAGTTCATCTGGCCATTGTCTAGTGCAGTGGTCCTTAACCTTTCTCTCTTTAATATCAAAGTCCCAGACTCTTGTATTTTCAATTTCCATTAAAAATTTTATAGAGATCATTAGTATTCTGAAGCCATTTTCACAACTACATGCTTTCATGCTTTAATCCTTAACTGACTGGTCTTGTACAACTGATTAATAAGAGCTACTGACCTCAAGACTCTACATTTACCTGCATTGTATATGTAAATCTCAGGGAGTTGTTTGCACCTTGCTGTCAACCTGGCTATCAGTTTCAGCTTTCCCTCCCCCCTCCCTCTCTCTCTCAATAGGGAGAGAAATTCTCTTCTTGGAATGACTAAACTCTTTCTCTTTTGTCAGCACATCATTTCAGATATCTCTTCTAGGGATGTGTGTGTTTGTTTTGTTTTTGTTTTTTTTGTGTGTGGTGGGAGGGAAATACAGGATAATTAGTCATATGGAGTGCTGTCCATATCGCCCCCCCCCTTCATTATTACATGATTAAGATAAAAAAAAAAACAAAGTTTTAGTACAACTTCAAACAGAATATTTTTCCCCACCATAGTTGGTTGGAATTTACAAACTTTCTTTTGAGACAATAAAATGCAGGAAATGATTTGGATTGTTTGTTGTTGCTTTTTTTTTTCTTTTGTCTGCGTCTTTCCAAAAAGGGAGAAGGGAAAGAAAAACGGAAAGAGAGGATCTCAACACCAAAAGGTGGAAATTGCTTCTGCTTCCTTAATGCCATTCTTCTGGTCAGGCAGGCAATCATTGCTGTCAATGGGATCAAATCCATGGTCATTGATGACTGATGGAGGCCTATATATAAGGAGCAGGCCATTGTTGTACCCAAGCCACTAATTCTTTAAGACATAGTGATATCAAAGTCCTTTGGCTCTCAATATGGTTAACCCCTGTAGCCATCACCTTTCATTCAGTTATGTTTTAGTATGACCGTAGGAGATATAGTGTGAATTAACCTGGTGTTTTTTTTTTTTTTTTTTTTTTTTTTTTTTTTTTGGGGGGGGTTTTTTTTTTTTTTTCTTAGATAATTTCAACCCAAGCAATGTGATAATGCCACGAAGATGCAAGGAATTGCTGAGAATGGGAAGATTTTAGCAAGGAGAAAGTGCAATAAAACAGGGTTCAAATTGCATTTAAATTTAAAATGGAGCTCTGTACCATAAATTGTTCAGTTTTCTCTGCACTTCCTTTCTTTTTCTTCAGGCAGCAGGGCTTTCTATACCTAGTCAAAAAAAAAAAAAAAAATGGTGTGAAGCAATAAAACGTTTATAAAGTTTTGCTTACTTTATATAACTCACTACTCAGGGATAACTATCAACAAGACTAGCTGGCTAACCATCGCCCCAGGTACCCAATGTATTTCCACAGAAAAATGTTCATGTATGTTTTATTTTTTTTTCATTCACCACCAAGCAAGTCAAAGTCAAACACAAACAGTTACTAATTTTGACAGAATATGAGGAAAAGAAAAAAAAAAAAAAATACATTAAGAACTGAAATTAAGAAAACAGAAAATGATGATTGCCATTGCATTTAAATTTTTGAAGATCAAAGTCAACTGGAAAGCAAGAAGCCAAAAAAAATTTTCACAAACAAAAACTAGAAATGTGGGGGAAGAAACTGCTAACATAGAACTTAGTTACATCTAGCCATTTCATCTGTAAAATGATGTAACCAACAGGGAATTTAGAAGTGAACTCTTTATTTCATCTACAAAGATATACTGTTCTCATTCCACTACAATAATTTTGCTTGTCTCTTAGTTACACCTTGTAATAGCTTGTCCATTGTTTGCTCAAAAATTTAGCTTGCTTAACCCCTGTCCATAAATTCTTGATATAGCAGGAGTCGAAAAATAAAATCTCTAACCTTTTGTTTTATCTTCATTCAGTGGTGCATTGAAGCTGTATATATGTGTCTCTAGTAAGAACGAATAGGAAGATAGAGGAAGCAATAAAACCCTTGTGCATTCAACGCCTGCTTTATTGAAATGGTATAGTAATATGAAATATGCCAGACCGAAACGATTAGTTTCAGGAATAAAAATTAATGAACACCATGGAATTTTCACAAGTTCTGCTCTGTGATTAAGGGAAACAGATGTCATAAAAACCCATTTGAAAGATTATTAGAAAGCAATATGCGGTACATGACTAGCAGTATTTAATGAATGCTTACAATTTATCCTGTTTAAAATGTAAAGAAATTGTCAAGTATAAACATGTCAAACATAGAATTTTTATGTGTCCAGCTAGTTATTATTATCCCATTATAATCGTATTTGTCTCTCCCTTCGCTAGTTCGCACGACCGTTATGCCTTGCAAATGCCTCAAATAATGGGCTATTTCGTTTTGATCACGTGGAAAGACAAAACATATCAAAGACGCTGCTTGGTTTCAGTAAAAAAAAAAAAGTGCTTAACGTCTCCTGCTAATGCTTCATAAATAATGGGCTATTTCGTTTTGTTCGCATGGAAAGAGGGGAAAAGAGGCTACTTGGCTTCTGTGAGAAAATGAAAAAAGAAGACAAAAGTGTTTAACGTCTGTCTCAGTGAAATGGAAAAAGTTGTCAGTTTTAAATCTTTTCATTTGTACCCTCTTCTTAAAATAAGGCCGAGCATTCATATTTATGATTGTTTCAGCAATATTTTATTAAAGTTGTTAAGCGCAAATATTTAAAGATGTGATAGCTGTAGAAATTCCCCTATTTTGTCATAAAACTCGGCATGAGTTTATTCAATTAATAACTGAAGAATTAAGATTCATCAGAAAATGAAAATAGTAAAACAGTGAAATTTTCACGGGTTAAAACTGGCTGTTGTTGGAATTATACGAAACAAGTGAGTAATTTTAAAAGAATGTTTTCCAATAGTTTCAGCAAGCATCTAACCGAACGTTTTTCATGTTGAAACACAACAAAATTTCATCACTCTTCTGCCTTCAAGAAAAGTAAACAATCGTATTATAAGCTTTACAAACACAAATCCTCTTAAAATAATTGAAAGATAACTTTTTGTATGCTTTCAAGTAAATCCTTTTAAGGTGCGTCGCCATTAGCAAGCATGTCTAAATAGTTCATTACTATTTTCTAGTGTACTCGAATCTTACTTGGTGCCCCAAGCTTGTGGACTTGTGCCAGACTAAGCTTAGATTAGTAACTACTTATATATTTGGGCAACTCGTGATGGGGTAATAATTAGCTTGCTAATCTAACAAACAATTACTCGCGGGTAGTGAGTTCGAATCTTCCCTAGTTGCTTTAGTCTTGTAACCTGTTGCCAGACTAACTGAAGCCGATCAAAGGATGGCGATGGTAACACAGCGTCTGTTTTAACAAACGAGCGCAGCTGAGACAACCTTAGATTGTCCTCTTCTAAGTGTTGACCTGGACAGATTTTTTTTTTTTTATGGGAGGTTGACATTACGTCTCTCATTGCCATGTCACAGATGTTGTCCTAGGAAATGTCAAATCGAAGATGTTGCCAGCACAAAGTTGAATCCAATGTTGGGCTGCGTTTAGGATTCGATGTAGAGTAATTGGCCATAGTTAAATGTAATTAGCAGGAATACCCAAACAGAATTGACAAAGTTTGTAATAAACAATAACAAAAGAACAGGGCAAAAAATATGTACAAGACGGAATTCGGCAAAAGCAACAGTAATGAGGCAAAAACGTTCACAAAGTAAGAATGGTGTTAAAACACGAAAAGGATACAGACAAGTGATCGCAGCGTTCTGACTTCAAGACAAGAAAGAACAAGAATATGGCGGATGTCACCAAGAAGTGAGTTATCTTATTGGCTTGGAAGAAATCCCATAATACATCTGTATGAT